TGTCAGCCTGCAGATTTCACTAAATTGTTAAGTTTTTAAACATGAATTCTCAAACTCTACGCTATGAATAATTGTTATTCTTACACATTGCTGTAATGTGATTGTTAGGGAAAGCTAGGGTAAAATGTGCATACGGGATAAAATTAACAATTGACGATTTTAAGTGCTTTTCTATTCAAATATAAATAAATTTAACGCACAGGTCTTTCATCCAATGTACCTTTTGAATTTTAATTCATTTACGTTAATGTAATATAATCCTACTAGGAATTATAAGTTTTGAATTGTTGTTTGCTGGAAAAATCACTTTTACTTTGGAAAATCTGTTTCTTTTTTTGCAATTGTAATAAAAACATTGCTTCATTGTCAGTAACAATTATGCTTAGAAAATAAAAAAAGTGCATTACTTATTGCATTGAATTGTTTGATTGACTTTCAATTTTCAAGAGATATCGTCATCGCAAATTCTCGAATTCAACGGAGATAAACAAAATCGTCAATTGAAAGGGACAAGTTTGGATTCCGGAAAGGGAGATCAACGGTGGATGCAATTCGGACAATGGTCAAGAGAGCCGAGAAGGCATCCAAACAGAAGTGAAGAGGAGATCGATATTGCACCGTGATAACACAATAATGCGTTCAACAGCGCAGCTGAAAAGCCATTGCCAAAGCGCTGCATAGAATGAGGGTCCCTGACTACCTGTACAGGATTCTGAGGAGTTACTTCCAGAACTTGTTTCTGGTCTTCCAGACAGACATGGGACAGAGATCGATTAGGATCACAGCGGGAGTTCCACAAGGCTCCATCCTTGGTCCTACGCATGCCTTTGCCTCGAAGCGCTGGGAGTGATGATCGATGACCGGCTAAACTTCAACAGCCACGTCGAATATGTCTGGGAGAATGCTTCGAAGGCCATCAACACAATAGCTGGAATTAAGCTGAACAACTCTATTCCCAGCAATATCAAGAGGCGTCTTCTGGCTAGATACTGAAGTATGGAGGTTCAGCCTGGTTTGCAGCACTGGAAACGAAGCAAAACCAAAGGAAACTGAGCTCCGGCTCATGGCCATGCGCATCGGTTATTACCGATTCTTTCGACCTAGGTGAACAGAAAACACGTAGAAGGCAACCACCACCGGAAGAAGTTCATGTCTGGCCACGGCTGCCTCAGGAAATACCTGCATCGGCTCGGACACGCAGCGTCACCCCTCTGTCCGGAGTGTGGCAACGTGGATGAAACGCCGGAGCATGTGGTCTTCGACTGTCCAAGGTGCGAGACAGTGCGAAGGGAGATGCCTGTCCTTGACGTAGAGAATGGCTTCGATGAAATGTGTCCAGAGGAAGGCACTTGGAATGGAGAGAAGAGCAGCGGGGGGATTCAGGCAGAGGAGAGAGTAAGGAATGGGCTTTTTTACAAATAATAGCCATATGTAGGACAAGGTGGGGTAAAACGCACCCTGGCGTTATACGACCAACAGCGTTTTATCTCGAACTATTAACAGACTAATTGATATAAACAATTTCCCAGATGCCTGTTCTGCAGTTCTTCTAGTAAATAAGGGTGGAACTCCATTAAATTTGTATTGCAAAACACGGAAATATGCGCGTAATTTTTTCTCGATTTTGTCAGTTTCCCGCTTTTGGCAGCCTAAAATTTGAGAAGGGGCTGAAATAATAAGGAAAGCACTGTATTCCTCAACTGGCCTTAGTTCCGAAGTATTGGCCGGATTCATCTCCTTGGGAACCACTGTGACGCCATTTTTGCTGTGCCACTGTTTGGTGGAATTTGAGTAATGGCATCTTACCAAGTCCGCCAGAATAGGCCGTCCACCTGATGCTTCTCCAGAAAAGGCAGTCGTCTCTTTCGTAAGCACTACTCCTGGTAAATTTCGTGGTCCCAGAAGTAACGAAAGTATCGCTTTTCAGCACACAACTGCAGATTGCTTGCCAAACAAGGGGGAATTTCGACTTCTTTTTGATTTTACATTCTTTAGGGGCACTCTTCCGGTCAACCGAAAACTGCCAGTAGCAGATAGACCGGGATTTTCGTTTCGAGCGTGCAGGATCGAATCGTGACGTGCTTGCTCCGGTGAATCCATGATGTAAACAAATGAACTTATCCTCACAACCTTTGCCTACTATGATTCTATACACTTTTGGCTTGAACTTTTTCGTGTTCAACTTTTAGTAGCAGTTTTAAGATTCAATAATGATGCAAAGATACCTAGGCAACCGTAAAAAAATAATAATAAAAAACAATGATTATTAATATTAAAACATTTTTGACGATTATGCGCAATTTCCCGAGCTACCTGGATAGGGGGGGGTGAGCACCTATTTGTTGTATTTTCATTTTACGTTCAATCATAAGCCGGTGGTGTATTGGTAAGCGTGATAACCTCTCACCCCAGCAGGCCTGGGTTCAATCCCCCCCCCCCCTTCGGAAGGGAAGTAAAGTCGTTGGTCCCCGGTTTATGAGTTGATGGGTCGATAGGTAGGGTCCAGGTGTGGGAGCTGTCTCCCTGGCGTTGGTAGCAGATTTCGAAATGTTAGTTAGTTTCTTCTCTTTACAATTTGTCGAACCTCTTAACGGAATCCCTTTTATGAAGAGCTTTGAGTGTGTTGGTCCATTTCCTTCAAATTCCGTTATAATCAGTGCTGAAAAATATCAATATCAATACCTACAAAATGCTAAATTTCATTAGCCACCTGATGTCAGTATCAGTTTACATAGTGATAAGATCAATATCATTCGCGTCAATGTCAGTGCGCAAATGACATTGACATCGTAAAGGGACAGCTGATATTAAAAGCTTGCGGCAAATGTTTCTTATACACGCCATTTAATCGAGAACCGATCCTTATGAAACTCTTAAGTAATATTAAAACAATGCAACGGTTATACAAAAAAGTTGATTTATTAGGATAAAAGTAAGATTTTCAACTTTTCCCCAGTGATATTCATATGACTAGTAATATTAAAGCCGTATCGTCTGATATTATGCTTACCAATAATATCAGTGTCGGAAGTGAAATTAAGTGCTAGGCCAATATATTACGTCAATTTACATTGTTGACAGCACGCAGCACTGGTTATATTTGCTTATCTTTTGACAGATACACGTATTTCGTCTACCACTTTCAGACTTCATCAGTGCCAAGTACTCAAGTTTCTTCTATTATCATATTAAATTACAGTAAAATATATTAAGCATGGTTCTCGTACAAAAAAAAAACCCTCCGTTCCCGTTAGGTAAAACTAGTTTCGCGGAAATCGGGAAATGAGAATTCTGGTAATTTCCCAGTTAGGAAACACTAGGTGGTGTGATTTCAAGACCAAGAAAGTTTGAGTTTGGCCAAATGTTTTCAAAAGATTATTTTAATTCTCAATCCCTCAAAATCTGTCGAAGAAGTTCCTCATCTTGTTGCATTACATCACAGATTACATGCCTGAAATGAATAAATTCAACATAAATTTTAGTTGTATTTACAAGCCTTCATAACGGAAGAGGGATATAAATCTCTAAGAATATTTAGCTAGAACAAGTCAGAGATAGGATCAACTGTCTCCAGAAATTTCCGTGACGATACGAGTCGAAAAGGGTGAACAGAAGCGGGTTGAATTTTTATCGTCTGGTGTTGTTGTGATGATCCATATTTAGCACAAAAGTGGCATTGCTGAATGCGGTCTTTTATTTAGCTGATCATCCCAGGTCAAAATAGGTTAGTTCTGGCCAACTTCAAAGTTGATTCTATTCTGACGTACAGGGGAATTGGATATAATGTCAGCCTAAATGCCCCTAATTTGGGCCCATAAATACATCAGCAATCGACTAAATTTTCAATAGCGACTGAAAATATCCATAAGTACCGCCCGTATGACGCGTTCATCTTGATAAAATTGATAAATAGCAGATTTTTAGCGATGGGCCCAATCTTAGATCCATAGGCCAACATTAGAGCAATTTCCATATGAAGTTTTTCAATGAGCGATCGTCGAAGGGATGCAGGAACCACCACATCTCATTTTTTTCATACTAGGATTGTCCAATATACCCCTTTGGAATGACTCCCTGTTATTGTCTGGAATCCCCCCTGGACTGTCATGAATCCTCCTAAAAATTGACTAAAATCCTCCCTGGTCCTGGGGCTGTGATGAAACCTTCTTGGGACTGTGCGGTTGCTAATGTTTGCAGTACTCGAACGTCATCGGCATGGCAGTCAAGCAAATCGTCTCTGGTTGTTCCGTATGGTCACTATAAAAAAGCCTTCCATCGATTTTGAGGGGGTAGCTAGTGCAATTGACCTTCCATTGCCGAAATATCTTCCCAGTTAAACATTGCAAGCGCACCGTTTAAAATGGTGCTGAAATACGTAAATTTGCTTTGTGGCAGTATCGGTTGCTGTGTGTATTTGATGTTGAGCTACGCAAGCTAATCAGAGTTACTCAAAATTAACTCCTATTTTACTCATGAACAAAAGCTGTTTTGCCCCAAAGTTTTATCAGTTACATGCTACCAAATGTCATAATTTTCGATTGCTGAAAGAAAACAGTAAATAAAAACTGCTGAAATCTTTGCTGAACTTCAGTAAAATGTTGTCATTTTGACAGAAGTTAGAAGATTCAGCAGCATTATTTTGCTAGAAAGTTTTCTGATATTTCATCAAGTCTTAGAATCAGCAAAATTTCACTGATTTTCTTTGATTTAAATTTCGTGTGTAGTTCTAACTACCATGCAATTTCTGAACAGGTATTAGTCGTGGAGACTCTAAACAATTAACTATTTAGATTTTTCGGATAGGTAGCTCTGTATTTTAGATTATAATCACCCAAAATCGGTCCGATCCTTTCTATTGGTCATCCTGCGGAAGTCCCCCAATAATGATTGCTTAACCTCATTTTCATCACATTCATGCAGTCATCGCCAACGAATGAATAAGACATCGGCCGACTGTTTCTAATTAAGAGCATCAAATCGCCAACTTCATCTACACTTACCATTCTTCCGGTAGTACAGGATCTCGAAGTGCTTCTCCTCGCCCTTCCGGAGCGCCTCCTTGATCGACTGGACGACGGCCGGGGAGGTCATCTGGCCCTGCAGGAACTCGGTGCAGGCGGACCGCTGCATCACCTCCGCCCGCGTGAAACCGGTCATCTTGCAGAAGCCATCCGAGCAGAAGATGATGTGGCACGATTCGGGCTGTGCATTGGCCACTAGAAAGCTACGGTCTGCAATGTGAAGGAAAATCGTATCGCATTAACTATTCATCAGATTTTGTCAAGTCCTAGGCTCTACAGCCGTAGGGGCTATGTGCAGCAGTACCTAGCCATTTCATAACTGTGGGTGGGTGGTGAGAATCGGATTGTGGAGGTGGTGGCGTTGAAAGGAACCTGAAATCTGCCTGCCATGCACGGCAAACCTCAGCTCAGGGCTGGATACCGTTTAATAGGGTCGATAAGGTGCATGGTTTTCATGTTTGATTCCGGTCTCTATTAAATTTAATTGCCGATAATGTTGGGCATTTCCGCCCAATCAGCAAATGATCGCCTTTCACTCAGTAGGATTGGATGTCATCTTGACACGGCATAGCCAATCAGGGTTTGCTTTGATAGGATTAATTAAAATTCGTTGCATTCGGTTGCTTGTTTAGGATGTGGTGACGTGGCATTCTTCGATGAAGTGCAATTTCTTCACTCAAATTTGTCTGTAATAAACATGTTTTTCTCTCTCCAAAAATCCTCGCGTGACCTTTGATGGCACTCAATCTATTTTCAACTCAATTTTCCTAGTCATAAATCACTCCCTACTACGAATTGGCTCATCGCACCTATAGCACATAACGATTGGCCCTCCATACGACAGAACGCAGATAAATATTTACGACCCTGTCTCATTGCAATCCGGAGAGAGGGAAAAAACCCAAACGAGCGGAAATTTCCCCTCCCCCTCAGAAGACAATTCCCTCACATGACGGGCAAGCCTGCAATGTTTCTTCCCGGTTGCTTAGGTATTTCGGCACTAGATAAATACGCTAGTCTTAATTTATTGAAATATTTAAATAATTCCACCATTCTGTTTCACCTCCTTATATATTGTCGCTAGTCATGCCAAGTAGATATAAAAACCACATTTGCGTTAAAATCTGCATTGTAAGAATTAGCCGCTTCGTTTCGGGTCGAGCAACATTCCGGCAGCAAGGCTTGGGGTTAGGGCAGGGCTGGCGACGAAACGGCAAAACGACAAAAGGATTAGAGCTGCGGTTTCCACCTTCGCCGGTGTGTCTGTGTGAGTGTATGGTTATTTGTTTTTGTGTGTTTCATTAGTGCAAATGCCTGCCTTCTCTTTCCCGTGTGTTTTGATTTATTGCAGCAACCCCAGAAGGCAGTGGCTTTGCTCTAGTCTCTAGTGTATACCTACAGTGGGGTGGGATAGCTCGAGGCTTCATGTATGTAAATGCGCGGGGCTCAAGAGATTTGATAGTTTAACACTGACCACCACCGGCGACCTAGTTGCTACCTCCCTGCTACTGGTCGTGGTAGTGACTATGTTGCTGCTGATGACTGGAAACATGGCTCGTGCTTCGGAATGCGGATTTGAGGTTATGTTACAGGGATGGGATATGCGCTTTGAGCTTAAAGTTTTTCTTAGATTTAGAGACGTTGATTTCTAAATCGTTAATGAAGCGAGAATTAACTGCTGTTTAGGGCTCGAAAAGTTTTCACGAGCGTCCTTTCAGTATATGACTGAATTACATTGGAACAATCCTCTTGGATCGTTTCATAGGATTTCTTCATCATCCTTAAATTTCTGCAACGCATTTGTCAGATTTACATTCTCTGTAGTTTTCTACATCACAGTCCATTCCCTTTTTTTCCATAAAACCACTGCGACCAGTAATTTGACCTATGGTAGTATATCCCGTGTCTTTAGTTTAAAGCATGTCGTATTACTCTATCACTATTGAGAAATGATGAAGAATTCGGTTTTGATACAGTTGTCATTCTTGCTTTATCGCAAGGAATCGATTCTAATCCTCGGTGGACAAAGCCGAGTCTTGTCACTATCAACAAGGCATAAAAGTATCAAGGACTAAGATGTGTTCCTTTGATTACTGAAAATCCTGTTTCCCTAGTTTGAAGTAGTCAGGACTAGGAATCGGTGGTAGATCTTACATCTCGTAACGTACCATGGAAAAGTGATCTATCCACGTTACGGGACATTCCCTCTCTTAGCTCAGTCGGAAAAGGCGTAGCTACAAAGACCATGTTGGAGGTGGTTGGGTTCGATTCCTGGTCCAGTGTAGGAATATTTCGGGTTGGAAGTTGGAACATTTCGCGACTTCCCTGGGCATAGAGTATGATTGTACTTGCCACACAATTATACTAATGCAGGAATCGGCTCCTCTATGATGTTTCACGACGCCTGAGCGGGGCAAGGATGATCCCAAGGATGCCTGTGAAAGATGCGACTGGACAGTTGCTCACCGACCCCACTGACCAGTTGAAACGTTGGTTTGAGCACTTTGAACAACTTCTCGAAGTTTCAACGGTCAACCAACCATCGACATCTCGGCATGATCCGCTAAGGTCAACACTGAAGCTCCATCATTGCAGGAGATAGAAGCAGCCATCCAAAGTATGAAGTCCAACAAAGCCCCGGGGGTCGATCGCATATCAGCAGAGATGCTCAAAGCTGACCCCATGCTATCCTCACAAATGTTGCATCAACTATTCGTCAATATCTGGGACACCGCGACTTTTCCGCCCGACTGGATGCAGGACGTCTTGGTAAAAGTCGCCAAGAAGAGGGATCCAACTGTATGCGACAACTGGCGAGGCATCATGTTACTGTGTATTGTTCTCAAAGTTCTGTGTAAAGTTATCCTCAATCGGATACAGAAGAAGATCGACGCAACTCTCCGACGACAGCAGGCAGGATTTCGTGCTAGAAGATCCTATGTGGACCGCTCCGCATCATATTGGAGCAGGTCAATGAGTTCCAAGAGTCCCTGTACTTGGTATTCATTGATTACGCAAAAGCTTTCGACCGACTAAACCACGAAAACTTGTGGGGCGCTCTGAGACGCAAGGGAGTCCCGGATAAAATCGTCAACCTCATCGAAGTGCAGTACGAGGCTTTCTCATGCAGAGTGTTGCACAACGGAGCTTTGTCTGACCCGATTCGGGTAATCGCGGTTGTGAGGCAAGGATGTATATTATCACCGCTACTGTTCCTCATCGTAATCGAAGAGATCATGGTTGGAGCCGTTGACCGTGTACCGAACCGTGAGTTGCTGTGGCAGTCTATTACCATGGAGCATCTCAACGACTTCGATTTGGCTGATGATGTTGCCTTATTAGCACAACGGCGCTCTGACATGCAGAGTAAGCTCGACGACCTTGTAGAACGCTCCTCTGAAGCAGGTCTAACCATCAACGTCAACAAGAGCAAATCGTTGGATGTCAACACGGAAAACCGTTCCAATTTCACGGTAACTGGGCAGGCAGTGGAGAAAGTCGAAAGCTTCCAATATCTTGGCAGCCAGATTGCGTCGGACGGCGGCACCAAGAGCGACATAGGTGCTCGGATTAAGAAGGCGAGGGCTGCTTTTACCAGTTTGCAAAATGTATGGAGAGCTAATCAGATCAGTCGACGCACCACAATCCGAATTTTTAACTCGAACGTGAAGTCTGTGCTGTTATACGCCAGTGAAACATGGTGTGTATCAGCGGAGAACACTCAGACGCTACAGGTGTTTATCAACCGATGCCGTACATAATTCATAATTCATAATTCGTTCCTGGAGGCCCCACAATTGGATCTCAAATTCCGAGCTTCATCGTTTGTGCCATCACAAGCCGATAGAGACAGAAATTCGTGAACGGAAGTGGAGGTGGGTCGGAGCGGAAACGAAATCTGCAAGCAAGCACTGGACTGGAATCCAGCAGGACATCGCAGCAGAGGCAGACCCAGAGGCTCGTGGCGGCGGAACCTAAACAGTGAAATTAAGAACGTTGACCGAAATTTGACTTGGGCACAGGTCAAGGCCAAAGCTAGTAATCGCCCAGGATGGAAATCTTTCACAAAGGCCATTCGAATCCCTGGAGATGCGCAGGATCGTTAAGTAAGTATGTAAGAAATCGGCAGGCAGGCAGGTAAAGGCATAGAAAGCTCTCACTTAATAACTGTGGATGTGCATACATATAGAATACTAAGTTGAGAGCACGCAATAAGCTAATATGTGATATGCAAAAAGCTTTAAATTCGAAGAAGAAGAGAAATAAGACTTAAATACCATGGAATTCTAATCCTATATTTTTTTTTGGATTCTTGACCTTCCTCCTTTCCCTGCGTAGACAATTGTCCATACACAATTTTTAGACAACGTGACTTAACACTGGGCCTTTTGCGTGACGTAAATAATTGACGTTCCCTTTATAAAGAATACTTTTGACCCTTCTTGACGGCACCGGTGGTACAGTGGTAAGCGTGATTGCCTCTAACCCCAAAGGCCTGGGTTCAATCCCAGTCGGCACCGCCGGGATTTTCTGAAGTATAAAATTCTCTGATCAAAGCCGTTGGTCCCCGGTCCGTGAATTGATGGATTGATTGGTATGGCCGACGTGTGGGAGCTGCCTCCCTGGCCTGGCATCGGTCGCATTGGTACTTGGTATGGAAAGCAAGATCGACGGAAAACAAATCAAAGAAAACAAAGTTTTGATTGACTTCCAATTTTTAAGAGATTTTGTCATCTTCAGCTTCAGCTCAATCAGCCCTGGAAGGTTCTGCCCGGGCAATAACGGAATAAAATCAAATCGATCCCAAATCCTGGGATTTGTGCAAATTCCAGAAATTTCCCGAAAATTGAGAATTTATAAGCTGCAAAACCTAAGTGGAATAGCATACAACATCAAGTTGCTGGTGCGATTTATCAATTTACAATCATTTAGTCAAGGCAGCACAGTATTTAGTTGTATTTAAAAAAATATTCTTCGACGGCTTGAAGCCTATTTGATTTGTCAATGAAGCGCGTCGAGATGCTAGGTTATCAACGTCTGAAGGAGGTTTGAGCATTTTATGACGTAGGATTACGTCTTTCGACAACATATCGGGGTTGTAATTTCAAAAAATCAAAATCGACCGCGTTACGAAAAATGGTCAGGTTATGATCACTTATAAATCTTTCAATAGCGGATGGATTTAAATTCTAAACAAGCCAATCGATTGG